CTGACAATGGTACAAAAAATGGAGAGTTAAAAACAAACGAAAAAACAAGCAAAGAAGCAAACAAACCACAAAGGGGGCTAATGGAGATCAGTTCAAAGGACATTGTACTCATCCGGGTTATGGGCTAAAACAACCTGAACTACAGTGGTGTTGGGAAAAGTGATGATGGGAGAGAGTAAGATTCACAGAATCTGGGAACTGGCAGAGATAAAGGCCTCAAGCTTACAGCCTTTTAAGATTAAAGCCTACGTTTTTGGAAGCACAGTGGTGACCTTCATGCAAATAGGAAGTCAATATAACTAAAGAGTTTCCCCCCTTAGGAGTGGGCTGCAGAAGAGATAATGATCTCGGGTTTGACATGTTAATTTGCCTAATAAGGCCTGAATCTTCTATGCAACTACTTTAATAGTCTAAGTGAATGACCGTTGAAAGGAATCCAATAAGCACTCGGCTTTCCTTAGAACTTGTTTAACTAGTTCATGATAACTTGAACCTGTTGGTCACCTATTTTATGCAAGCTAGTTTTGGCAATCTGCTTAGCTGTCCTCTGAATGACCTCAGCAGATGTGCTGACCACTCTTCACATCTGCCCTGATCACCAAGGGAAGCAAAATTCCAATCTGGAGATGGAGCTTTCTGACCTGGATTTTATTTCTGAAAGGGCCACCGGTAGGTGAGCCGCAACTTCAGATCTGAAACTTTTTACGCTTGATATACAAAGTGAAAGAAAGTCTCTAGGTAAATGTCAGTGACAAAGTTCCACATCAAGGATCTCCTGAATTCTAAGAAATCTAGGAGTCAAGATGCCCATTAGTCACTTACTCCTTGATGGTGGAATATCCTACAGAAATTCTGTCACACACATTTGGAGTGGTTGGTCTGCTAAATAACCAAAACATCACGGAGACCAAACGGCTTCAGAAAAACAGGAATTATAAGCACATTGCTTATCAATGCTCCCCAGCATGTCCTTAGAAGCTCTGAAATTAAATTAACACCTTTTGGAAAAGGATCGAATGCATGTGTGTACACGCACTCAGAGACACATATTTCAGAGCCTTCCCCAAATATGCCACCCTTCACAGACTCTGTCAACTCTTCAACAACATGTAGTAATAATATTTTTTAAATATTTAAAAACATCTAGCTTTTAAAAAATGAATGAGGCTACTTTAGTCAGTGAAAAATAGAGTGATTTAGAAAGCAGAATATAACTGTCCAGGTTGGACTATAAACCACTTCAGGGAGTTCTCATTGCCTTTCTCAATGGTAATAGGTCACCAAAGATGCTCCCAACCATTTCTACCTGCCCTGTAGACACAGTCTCAAGCGATGGAGAGCCTTAGTGCTCCCCTGACTCTGGGCTGGTCTTGTGACTTGCTTTGAGCAACAGAATGCAGCGAAAGTGACATACTTGGACTTTCAAGCCCAGGTCTTAAGAGGCCCAGCAGCTTCCACTTCCTTTCTTGGAAGCCTGCCACCACATGAAAAGTTTGACTACCCTGCTGGAAACAGAGGCCTGGTGGACAGAGGCCTGAAGCCATCTTGGTCTGCTGAGCCCAGCTGAGCTCCCAGTTGAATGCAGCTGCATAATTGAGCCCAGTCAAAAATGGCAGATGAACTCCAGCCACCCTACAGAATCGTGAGAAATAATAAATGGGTGCTGCTTCAAGCCACTAAGTTGGGGGCCCTTTGTTATGTGGTAATAGATCACAGAAATAATGGGTGACAAAAGATATCAAATTGTTAAAAGTGAGCCAGATCCACCATTCATCAGTGACCATCTGTGATCATATTGGGATTTTGCGCAGTTCTGCTAGCAAACTAATTTACCTGGAGAAACACAGATAGGACTGTGTCTTGTCATATTCAAACTCTAGCATTCAGTAACATCTAGAACACTGGCACTGATGTTCACACTGGACTCTGATAACTCTACCCCCAGAGCCCTCTAAGACTGGAAAAACTACCTCCCTTGGCTGGTTCATGAAGCTCTCTCCCTCCCTATATTCTTGTTTTTTTTAACGCCATGCCACAAACCTGCAAATGTTTATGTTAGAAAGAGTAACAAGATGATGAATGCTGGAGTGAATAAAACTTCAAGTATACTGGGAGGATGAATAAAAGATAGCAGTGGCCTTATCTGCACTTTATGGCATGGACTGCATGGAGCCAGGTAGACAACAATGTCTAGGCAGGCTTGGAGTGGACTGAATTATTACCCCCAATTCTGGACCATTCTCTACATCCACACCCTTGCCGTGAAGGTACTGTGGTCAGATGTACTTTGCTGTCTCTTGTCTTGTTCATGTGACTTGATTTGGCTAGTAAAATGTGGATGCAAGTGACAGAGTGCCAGCTCTAAGCTCAAGCGTAAGGGTCATCATGTGTATCACTTGCACTTTTAGCTTTTTGTAAAAGGAGAGCATATCCCCCTTGGCTCACTGGTCCCAGGAGGAAGATGAGAGAGACATGGGGCAGAGCCACTCCAGCTGATCCACCAACTCGTGATCGAGAAAGACAGGCTTACTGTTGAATGCCTCTGACATCTTCAGGTTGTTTAATACCCAGTAATAGTTGACTAATACAGGCTCCTTTATGAGATACTGATATTTGCAAAATACATATGGTACTTTAGAACAACAGACAGTCTTCTTGGCTATAACTAAACTAGCCAATGGATGGTTAGGTGGTCTCATTGCCAAGAAGAATATAAGTACAATATATTGAATATCACTGAGTTTTGCACTTATAGTCTAAGATTATCTTTCTAAAGACTATAATTTGGTATTCAAAGTTCTCCGTAATTTAACCCTAACTTAGTTTGGTAGCCAATTCTCTCTCACTTATATTTTATATTCTGTTCAAACTGGATTATTTAAAATTCTTGAATATGTCTCTAGCCTTTCCTCATCCATTTACTTCCTGCACCCTTCCTCTGACAGGTTTAGATTCTCCAGTCCCTTAAGGCCAGATTCAGCTGTCACCTCGGTAAGAAATCTGCTCTGATCCTGCCTTTTAAGGTAATCTCTCCATCCCCCTGACTCTTATCCTGATGTATGTCTTTTCCTCTTCTGGTATTTGGCTTATTCTGCTTTATAACACTTGCTTATCGTCTTATAAAGTCCTAGAAAGCAAGGTTTATGTATTATTTACCTCTGCATCCTCCATGGCATTTACCAAAAGGTCTTACACACAGTGTACAGGCCAGTCAAAATTTTTTGCATTAAAGAATGAGTGACCAATGGGAGGCAGCAGGGCAGCAGGAAACAACATGGAGAAAAAAACATGAACTTTGGAGTCTGAGAGATCTGATTTTATCACTTGGTAGCTAGGCAGCTTTGGACCAGTTAGTCTCCCCATGCTTCAGCTTCCAAATATATAAAATTGGGATGGCACATCCTTCACAGGATTGTTGTGAAAATTCAACATGAAAATGAATGTAAATGCTTCTCGGTGTTTGACACATGGTGGCGGCTCCATAAATGGTAGCTCTTATCACAGAAATGATAATGACACAGAATATCACATAGAAGTTAGTTTAAACAGATCCCTGATAGTAGATTATTTTCTCTTAAAAGTTAAGTGTTTGAGGGTGACACTAGGACTCTAGTTCCAATTAGCTGTTTTCCCAGAAACTGTGGTTTCACGGATCTGGATTCCAGTTTATGAAGATGTTCATACGTTACTCTTCTCCAGTTCTAAATTCTATAGGTAGTCACCACTAGAAGCAAATCTGTTCCAGGCAACAAGTGCTTCTCCTTATAACAAAACAAAACAAAGTCCTCCTCCCCATATACACTAGTCCACTTTTAGCAGAGCATTAGCCCTTCCACAGCATTCCCAATTCTTCCCCAGGAGACTGAAGCAACCATCACACTGGATCAAAAGCTGGAGATTCTAAATGCAGTAGAATTATCTGACAGTGCCTGAATAGTGCAACTTCAATTGTTTACATGTAAACATTATTCCAATGAGGTTCTTTATCGACTAAGAGATGAAGAGGTGCTTTTATGTTTTATGAATAAACATTCCATGCAAATGTCAAGTAGTAGGTATTACTGGAAAAGTAATTCAGCAAAAATTGCTTCATCTGCCTTTTATTAACTGGAATTTTTTACTAACATATAGCCACACTTCATCAGAGCAATAATTGATCTTCCAAGGGACAAACTCAAGATAAGGCAAATTCAAAAGCCTGTGAGTGGCCAGGTAGGTAAGGTCAAGGAGTGAACTGGGCTTGATGTGCGTTCAAGGGGATGGCTTAGCAATACACTGGAGGCCACAGCCTGGCTGAAGGGGCATCTGCTGACTGTAGCCTCAGGGAACAAAGACTCAGTGTTGCCAGATCTTCTGATGAAATTTGGGGTTTTAATGTGAAATATCCTGATTTTTAAAGGCTGCCTTGCTTTTTATTTTAAAATTCTCTGGGAGCCAAAGAAAATATATTTGCTGGCCAGATGTGGCCAGGAGTTGGCAGCTTGTGACCTTTGTGCTAGATATTCTAAAACCACTTTGAATCGTCATAGAAAGGTTAAAAGATGATTAGTTAACTCGTGGTGTTTTTATTTTTTAATCTGAAAATTTCTAATTTACATAAAGAGAAACTCTTTATTAACTCCCAAAAGAAAATACCTCACTTCCTCACTTATAAATCCCCACTCACTCCACTTTCAGACCTCTATGTTTTCAGTCTTACACTCTCTTTGACCAGGACACCCTGTGGCTGCTGTGTTATGTACCTATTTAGATCTTACTAGTTCTTTAAAGCTTGATTTAAATGCTAGCTCCTGCATCCTCCATAACCCTCCTCAAAGTCTTCTATTATAAATTATGATGAAAATTCAATGTAAAAGATCTACATTGATTTTGATCACATCTCATCAGTCCTTCACCAGCAGCCCCCAAACAGTATAACACAGCAGGACTACAATTATTCCCTCCTGCGAAAGTGAAAGGCGTAGAGCAACAGGTCATGTGTCAAGTTCAATGGCACTCACCGCCAAACACATCTCCGTTCTGGTAGTTTTTCCCCTTCTGGGCTTCCTCTTCATTTTGAACAGTGGCAACATGCTTGGCAGAGGCACAGCCCATAGTCTCATTCGGTCAGCTTCAGCCGGGCTGAACTGCAAATCATCTCTACAGACACGGGGACATTTTTTTTTCTTTAAACACAAAGAAAATCGACCTTCCTGCTGACTCGGTCAAGAGGTGTGCACCTGCAAGAACAGAAAGCCAGATCAGGAGGCTTGAAACAGAACCGACGTCTCAGTGTCTCGCTGTGCTGTGTGACCAGCAACACACTACAATTCCTGCATGACCCCAGGGCACTGGGGGTGCAACTGGGAGCTGCGGAATGAAATGCAAGATGGCCCGTTCTAACCTGATTCCCACTCAGGAAGCAAGATCAGAAGGCATGACCCCCCGCACAACACGTGACTGAACTTTTTGAGGAGATAACTAAAAATACAGATTTATTTATTCAAATAAATATTTGAACAGTACAAATTGCCACACATACACTTAAAGTGCATATATGTTTGATAATGTTCTGAAATCTCAAAAACGTTCAGAGTAAGGAAGGCACATGCATGAGATCCGCCCAGGTCAGGAGGCTGGGGAAGGTTCTCCATCTTCCCCATCTTGCCCTGCAGGCCAGCTCTTTCCAGCTCCTCAAATTTTGCCTGAAGGAGGTGGCCTTCTTCCTCAGGCTGAAACATGGGCTAGTTTCTACATTTCTGGTGACTTTTGTAAATAATTCAATATTTTATTTCTCCTGAGGTGACACTGTTTTGGAGAATAAAGGAAGCAAATGGAGAAAGGACTTGAACTCACTTTTGTCCATTTTCTGCTTAGCTAGCTGAATGTCGGAAGGACTGAGCAGATGTAGGAATATGAAGAAAAATAAACGAGGCACTTGTCTACCTCTTTCAGAGCCTTTGCACCTCTATCTGACCTCTAGTAAAGGCTGAAAGAGGATTTATGGATAAACCACGAAGGAGACAATCCCGTAGTTAACTGGAGTGAATTTACCTTCCCTTGCCCCACCCAAGGTTGCTGCCTGAATTCTCAGGGTTTACTATGCTCAATTTGCTCATTTTTATTTATTTCATTCTTTCATCATCCTTAGCCAGCCATTCCAGTCTTGCAGATGACTTATTCCAGTCTCACACGTTTCCTTCGAAACATCTCTCCTCTCCATTCCTTCGTCTCCATCCATCCCACTGTAATATAGGCCCTTCCCTCCTCACACCCATAGCAGACAAAAGCAGCATCAAGCCACTGCTTTTAATCTTCATTAGCAACGCCACCCCACTACTTGCCTCTCCCCTTTACGAACAACTGATGTTTCTGAGTCTTCAAAACAGTGCCGCCAAAATGCAGCCACAAGCTTTCTCTTCCAACAAGACGGTGGCCCCTAAGCCCTCCTTCCTAGAACACTAACGACATCTATGGATGTAGAAATCTAACCATTTAAACCATAAAATCTCAGTAAAGGGAATTTTACGAAAAGGTAATTCTAAGTCAATCTAATCAGTGAACTTAGATACAAAAGATAATGATCTCAAATTAAGCCAAGTGAATACAAATTTCAATGTTGACTCTATGGCTTTAACACTAGCCGCGTCTTTGTATAGTTCTTCAGCTTATTTTCTATCACTGGTTATATTAAATCATTAACAGAAAGAATCGAGTTAGTTGGTGAAGTTTTACAAACAAGGAAGATTTGTTTTTCCTAGATAGTTTCTCTACACTATTAGGTAACCTTATGTTAACACATTTTCATCTTTTTAGGGCTATATGGAATACACACACACACAACTATTCTGATGACATTTAGCAGGAATGTTGTTAAAGCGATAGTATTTCAACTTGATGGTCTATTCATACTGGTCTATAGAGCTCAGGGGCCTGATGGAGGAGATGAGATGAAATTTTTTAAAAATACACACAATACAGTGTAGTAAGTATCCTGATAGAGGTCTCACAAGAACCCATGACAATGCAGAACTCAAAAATGCAGATTAAATTCTGACTGGGTGAAGGCAGGAATTAAAAGAGACAGTGGTATTCTGTAGGGTCTTAAAAGTTTGGTAAAAATTTGCCAGGCTGAAAGGATAGTAGCATCATCCAGATGCAAGGAAAAGCCTGAGCTAAGACACCAGAATGTGGAAGAGCACAGTGTGTGTGTGTGTGTGTGTGCGCGTGTGTGCGAGTGTGTGTGCGTGAGTGTGTGTGTCTGTTTCCCTGCGCTTATTCAGAGGAGTCAAGGTGGGGTTGGGAGTAGGGCAGAGAAAAGGCCCGCACTGCTGATGCTTTGTGAAGGGCCTAGAGGAGCACTTGCTAACTTTATCCAACTTAATAAAGATAAACTATAAAATGTCATAAGACATAGGAAGTCTTTCTGATCCAAATTTGAGCACACTTTGAGAGATATTAAATTAGTAGTGTCAAAATCCATTCTGTCAACCTATCCTAGTTTGAGGAAACATTGCTGAAATATGAGACAAGAGGGATAGGAGACAGGATTCAGTTCTAAAGGTAGGAGATGGCGGAAACACCTCTCTAACCAGCTAGCTGCTAAGCGTTGTTGCTGTGGTTGTTGCAATTGTGGTTGTTGCTGCTTTGCATTCCCAGCCAGCACGTTCTCAGGGGCAGCAGCCGCCTTACTCCTCATCTCCAGCATCACCATGTATGGTAACAGGTGTGGGCTCCCAGAATGAATTCCTTACTTTTCAAAAAGGAATGTGGGAAAACAACCTCACACCTACACAGGAGAGCGGCCTGAAGTGCGAGGGGAAACCTTGCCTTGCCTGCCTGTCTACTGCCACCTCTTAAAATAAAAACAAGGAGAGTGGGAAACTTAACAAAATTCCCCACGGACACTGAGAACCCAGAGACAACAACTGTCCTCTCTGGGAGTCCTCTCACCTTCTTCCTTCTCTTTCCAATTTCACATTTGGAGCCTCACGTGCTCTCCGAGAAGTAAATGTAAGAATCTAAGATGCACATTACTCTTTGCTACCCTTGAAAAGCTGTGTGTGGTGTCTCTTCTGTGTTTTAAAAGTTTGCATTAAAAAATCTTACTTGAATTTAAAAAGTTGAGATCATATGAAAATGAAACACACTGCAGCAGGCTAACAAAATTAAAACATACAAGAATTTTTCAAAAGACTCCTCAGTTATTCAGCAATGAAAGTGAGGGGCTTGTTAACAAGCAGATTACATACGATTTACATCCAATTCAACTGATCACTCAGGAAGTTTCCCTTTAATTATATTTCTTAAAAAGTACAATTGCTCAATAGGAGTTCTCTCCAAATCAGAAATAGGTGTAGATTTTGTTTTTGAAACATACACACTACATATTTTACAGCAGTAATTTAATTTTAAGACAGAAGTTTTCAAGTTTTCCAATTTCATCAGAAATATACTTTAATATTTTGCCCATTTTGAAGATGATAATTATGACGTCATTTAAAAGGCAGATGATCTCCAACTCTCAAAGTTAACCTTGGACCACTAGGGGAAGTTTTTTACCACGTCATTTGGATTCTGCACATAAACAATGGTCCAATCATTCACTCACTGAACAGATATTTATTGAAAACTACTAAGTGACAGACACGAGTTTGGTAGGCATTGGCTATACATAGGGTAAACAAGGCAAGACGTGGTTTTTCTCCTTATCTCCAAAGAATATGAACGTTCAGTGAAAGGAGAGCATTAGAAATCTCAGTTTCACAATAATGTGGTACAGCCACTGCAGGTTAAGTACAGGATGACAGGGGAGTTCACCCCACAGGCACCTGAAGCAGCCTTCAGAGACGGAATGTCAAGAAAGGTCAGGTTTGAGACCTGACCACAGCTGAAGAAACATTATTAAAACACCCCTGAACTGCACCTCTTTTATAGCCTGATGTAATGTCAAGGTTTCATTTCTATTGAAGATTCTCTTACTTGGCCTCAATCCAACTGAGACCTCCAATCCCGCAGACCTTCAGAAATATGTCCCTAATGACTGCTACGACAGACTGCTCAAAAAAGCTTCCCTTTGGTCTGTACTATCCTTCACATAAACCCTAGCATTTTTTTTAGTTTCCATTTTTCCATTAGCTTTGTTCAGCTTTTCTCTCCCAACCCCCACACCCTCTATTCATTACCTCCTTGAAACCACACCACTCAGAGAGGTAAGTCTGATGGCGCAAATGAGCACGAGGGGACTGAACACCCAGCAGATGTGAGAGTCTCGTTTTCACGTATTGTGATTAGCAGCATGCTGTTTCTGAAGATACAGATCAGAGTGTGAAAATTAAACTGAAGCATCTCTTTGATGTTTGATGGAATCTTCTAATACCAAGTTCCATTGAGGATGATTTTTTTTTAAACTAAATAATCTATAAGATAGGATCATCAGGGACCTCTAAAACCATGGGGTCCAAATAATTGCCCATGGCTTTGTGTACATGTCTCCCCAAATGACTGTATGGCTACATATCCTGTACCACATCATTAGAAGTTGTAGTCCCTATTCACAATGCTACGAGCTAACCCAATTTAGTGCCATCTTTATAGGATATTTCTCCTGCTTTTGATAAAATACATTAGCAAATTGGTAAATCCAATTCAAATTTTTTAAAAAAGGACTAAAAAATGTGTAACCATGCATGTTTATCCTTCCTCTCCTTACACTATGGCTCAAGCCGCTCTAGGTAATACTTTAGGTATCAGGCGGGGAATTATTGTTCCAGAATACTTCATATTATAACACGAGAACGTTCTTTTCTGTATACAAGTAAGTCTACTACTTTTCTATGAATACCTATTACCTACATGTGATACGTTTGTCTTTCTATAAGGAAAGATTATGGTTTTTTTCTTTTTTTCAATGTTCATGAGTTCACTTTATTTTTATTTTTTCCACTTTATTGAAGTATAATTGACAAATAAAATTGCGATATATTCGAAGTGTTCAACATGATGAGTTGATATACATACACATGGTGAAAGGATTCCACTGTTGAGTTGATTATTAACACATCCATCACCTCACATATTTACCTTTTTTGCTTTTTTGGTGCGAACCTAAGTTCTAATCTCTTGGCAAATTTCAATTATACAATACAGTGTTATCAACTATAGTCACCATGTTATATATTAGATCCTTGGCAAATTTCAATTATACAATACAGTGTTATCAACTATAGTCACCATGTTA